CCTACTGTACAAATAACAGCTTCTAGGCTAGTGGAATATATCCCCGGTGTGAGGTGTATTTCAATTCATGAAAACTTATTTTTAGAGGACCGACGTTTAACAAGATTTACCGAGTATTCAATAATACTCTAGAATGCATGGCTGAATTAAAATAAGAATAACTCTTTGCAGGAGCATCGTCCTTTATTGGAACGCTGTGGGTTATCTTGGTTTTATCCACATATTTGCTTTGCAATAGTTTGCCTGTGCTCGTATATTAAGTGACCTATAGCACTTGCAATGTAACGTTACGTATTTGCTTTGCAGTAGTTTGCCTGTGCTCGTATATTAAATGACCTATAGCACTTACAATGTAACGTTACGTATTTGCTTTGCAGTAGTTTGTTTGTGCTCGTATATTAAGTGACCTATAGCACGTACAATGTAACGTTTCGTATTTGCTTTGCAGTAGTTTGCCTGTGCTCGTATAATAAGTGACCTTATAGCACTTACAATGTAACGTTACGTATTTGCTTTGCAGTAGTTTGCTTGCGCTCGTATATTAAGTGACCTATAGCACTTAAAATGTAACGTTACGTATTTGCTTTGCAGTAGTTTGCTTGTGCTCGTATATTAAGTGACCTATAGCACGTACAATGTAACGTTACGTATTTGCATGTTTATTATTTGCGTTCATCTACTTGTTGCAGTCATTTTGCTGCTTGTTTGTTGTAATAGCAAATATGTAATGGATGGCATTGATGATGATAATGATATCATGAAGACAATGATAATGATTGTGATAATGCTAGATCCATGTCCGTGTGTGTATGTATGAGAATGCGTGAATGTCCTGTTTATGTATATGTATATGTAATGAAAAAAATGGAAAATTAAAACCATTACAAAAAAAAAAAAAAAAAAAAAATGTAATGGATGGCACACCAGCATGTACACTGATGATGTTACTGGCTTTTTAGGATGATAGTTTTTAATGGTATGTACGGATTAATCCGTGGTAAATATGACCATATATAACCCCCCTTTTAAGCTGTATACTTCGCTATTGTCAGTTGTATATTTTTCCGATATTCGTTCATAGAGTCAATACCGTAATAGCGCGTCGTTTGTAATTTTATATGTAGGTTCATGATACCAAAGTGAGAACTGTGTAACATTTTGGCACTAAACGTGAAACTCGTTTGGTTATGATGACGGATATGACGGAAAATAGTCACGAAACTCATGTGGTGTCGAAAATTTATCTATAATTCACCGTATTGGTATAAGCATGATGAAGTGGGCTATGTGAGCTTCACATTTGTAAAAAAGAAGATTTCTTTGGTTCGAGAATAAAATTTTGGCCATAATCCGAAAGGGTGCGTACACATGAAAAGCTAGCTTTACAGGAGGTAAAATTTTGACAACAGCACACGACGCAAAATTGCAAAAAATAAAGTTTTACAACTTTACTGGGACCCAGATAATTCTGCAACCAGGTAGGTAATCTTTAATTTCAGACAGAGCTTAGGAAAAAAAATACTAGTTGCGGGGGTCAAATTTTGGGTTAAAAATAGCATTTTTTGGCATTTTTTTGAAATTTTTGATGTGGTAACCATGGTTTTCACACAAGTGACATACATAGAAAAAAGAGGTTTATACACTTCTCAGTACTTTATATGTATTGTAAATGTAATGCAGTTTACAAATATATATACATGTATAAATGTGTTGTGTAGGGTAAATCCGCTGTGTTTACATTTCCTCGACATGTGCCTTGTTTATCAGAGTCGGGCCATTTCTACTGTACACTGCTACCTCAGGAAATCTATTAATATAACGTTAATACCATCTCTGGAATATTCAAAATCAACCTGACTTCATAATTTGCAGAGTATTTGCTTGTAACGTCATAGTCATTGACAAAACGAAATGAACAAGTCGTCCCAGTCCCGCCATACATTAATTTCGTTTTTCACCCCAGCAACAGATCCCAACTTTGAGATTCACATTCCAACCTGTGTTCAAAGCCGGGGATGCTGACATATGTATATGACTTACCACTACACAGTGAGAATGAACAATTGTGACGTAAGCATTCTATACAAGGTAGGGATTTAGATAATTGATTAACAGTCACCACATTTCTCCCATTTACACATGATAAGTGCAATTCATATGGTTACTATGATTATAAATAGTATTCAGAATGTGAAGATATTGTTTCCTCGTCTTTGCGAGAAACTATCTACGAGAGATCTTGGTTTTGTAAGAGCAGTTCCCCGATTAAGAAACATGACTTTGTATTTGAAATTGTCCACCTTCACATATATAAACTACATTTGTGTATATCTATTACCATATGTGAAGTCAAATGTTCGTGATGAGAAAGTAATACCATCATTAGCATTGGCCATGTTATCATTGTAATGAACAGCATCACAATAACTATGTGTGAAACTAGTGGGTGGGGGACACTCAAATTCTAAAAATAATTGGATCACTTTATATACAATGTATTTACTTAGTATCCCATAGGATGGCCACTTCCTCCTATTACTTATGTAAATTGAAATGAAGCCTAAATGCGGTGTAATTCATTGCAGACTGGGATACTGCAATGAGAATGTTTGGAGTCGGAGTTAACCGTCATCAATATCAGGATCGGAGTTACTGACTAAACTGTCAGTAGTAGGATTACGGAAATATGCCTAACTGAACGATACTCTGGGTGATACTGGCAGTAGCTTTGTCAATAGACCAATCGAGCGGTTAGCACTCATATTCATAGTTTAACTGTTAATGTTTACTTTTTGATACTGATAATGCTACTAAAGACAATTAAGATTGTGTAAGCATATAAACCTCTTCGTGAACGTGGTGCTTGCTACTGTCCTTTAGTTTACATATTGGCGCTTAATACGTTTATGCTGAATATCCCAATTTTCCGTAATGCTGTTAATGTAAGTGAATCCAAAAGGACAGGACCCAAAATGGGGCACTTTTGCGAAATTGGTATGCGAAACACAGAAGTATGTTTAATGTTAGTCCATCCTTAAGATATATTACCAAATGTGACCAATACTTGTCATGATAATTATGATTGGTCATGGTGAGAAAACTCCTTCGCAAAAATGTGTTTCTCAAGATGTAACCAAGTTTCGCTAACGCCAACATCCCTCAACATCTGTGACCTAAATTCAATGGCAAGAAATACTATTTTTGGAAATCATAGTTCGAAATGTTTCAATGGTATTTTTTCTTAATGTTTGTTTTTATAAAAGCGATCATGATGTCTCGATTGATAAACAAATGGTGTCAAAATCTTAAATATAGTATTTCTTCTTATTGACACTATGTGTCTCTATGTTTGTTGTGATATTTTCTCTGGAATGAAAGCAAGTGTATTAACGTCGTGTTGGTTTTATCAATTATAAAATGAAGAAACATATTTCTGACGGGTAAGTGCACCAATTCTTTTTTTTTCTGTAAGTTTTATCATTCCCTGTTATGACGGTTACAATATTTAATATAGCTATAAAGAATTGAATTGCGCGAAAATGTTATTGGCTGATTTCCACATAGCGGTCATGTAATATTGAAGTAATATTATAAGTTATAACCTCCAGATACACAAACAAAAGACTTTGTCTGAGCATTTCTATTTTCATTTATTGATGGTGCATGTATACAAAATGTAGAATTAAAGGTGTGTAGTGATACACAAACACATTAATAAGTTTTACATCAATATTACACAACATACACGCACACAATTTATAGATGTATAATGCACATTGTATACAATAATGTTTATTGTCATATGCAATGAATGGGAAATAACTTAAGAATCAATCAGTTTCATTTAGAGTTACAATGAGTTTACACATTTAACAGCATATACAATAGGAGAAGTAAATTCAATCACCAAGACATTTAAAAGTAGCGTAAGAATACTGATGGTTACGTTAATTTGATCATGTGGTCAACATTACGATTACTATTTTATTACTTTAGTAGGAAGCTAGATTTGGCAACGTTTCTATTTATTACTCAAGAATATATTAATTATTTTATTCATTAATCAGATTGATAAATTGGGACAAAGTCTTGACAGCTTTCGTTATTACAAGAATCGTGTATCTGGTTGACCCAAATGTGTTTCTCATTCGTTTGTTTGCTCACCAATTATTAGGAGCTTGTTATAAAACATAACAGTTGAGTGCTAAAGGAAATATTGTTCTAGATATTGAACTAGGTTTCAATGCGGGGAATTTGACACACATGGGTTAGCATGCTGTAGAGATCGCTAAGTGACATTTTGTCACCCGACTGCGTGGAAGACGCCATCATAACAACTGTCAAAGAGGAATAATTTGTATCAATGTATGAAGCAGTTTCATTTTTTGACAAATAAAGACGTCTATGACATATAGTTATCATTTATCACAAATTACGTGGTCAGACAGCATTTGATGATGTGGACATGGTAAGTCGCATCTTTATGTTGATAACGTTTAAAACGACGGCGAACAATTTTACGACCTTCAAGATTATTCAGTGATTGCAATATTTTCTTTATATATTCTGAAAATATCCTATATGAAAGAACAGGTCTTTTTTACCAGTCGTGCATCGATAAAAGTTGTTATACATGTATTTTTTAAAATCAACTTGAGAATAGGTCAGTTTAGAACAAGTTCTAATTGAAATGGGGGACCATTACAGATGTCCCCCAAACTGCCCCCATAGTCGCAAATATTCATCAGAAAAGGATCGTATTGCTGTAGTACACCTATAATCTGTGTGTACTAAATTTCAGTGTAATTGAGCATATATCTAAATTGCAACCAACAAGAATCCTCTGTGTGGTTGCTCTGGCAACGAAACGTATGCGATTGAACTTGCAGTCCCCTAATATACCAATTTTCATCGAAATCGAACTATCACCAAATTGCAACCAATCAGAAGCCTCCGTGTGGTTGCTATGGTAACGAAACTTATGCAGTTTTATTCGCAGTCCCCTAATACCCCTATATACTATTTTTCATAAAAATCGAAAAATATATAAATTTCGACCAATCAGAAGCCTCCATGTGGTTGGAATGGCAACGAAACATATGCGGTTGAATTCGCAGTTCCCTTATACCCCTATATACCAATTTTCATCAAAATCGAAATATATCTGACTGTCCACCAATCAGAAGCGTTTGTGTGGTTCCTATGAAAACGAAACATATGCGGTTGACTTCGACTAAGATGTAGGCTGTTATGTTCTGTAATCTCGGTTGTTGGAACACAATATTATACGTTTTAGGAACACTTGGGCAGGCTAGTTCCAGCTCCTTTGGATAATCCTGCTAATATTGCACCGCCTCCACTAAAACAGAACCCAACCAGGAGAATGCCTATGTTCCGGATTCCCTGGCAATACAAATTAAGAGTGTTAATCCTCATACCAGCAAACATAGAAAATCACTTTATCGTACAGTACCTGATTTTCGATCCAGATTTATCTCGGACATGTGTTTATTATACAGGATCAGGTCTTTCCAAATTGTACCGTTATCTTAGAAACAAATGAACAAGTGACGAAATAAGAATTTAAAGAAAAAAGGTGAAACTCAAAAAAAAAAGATAACCAATCTTGAACGAGTTTTGAATGCATTTCAACTTTATCTGCTGAGACTCGAATCGTAATATATCAAGAGAATAACATAATTCAGTAAAAAATCTAAACTACACTTCAAATGTTGGGATAAAAACGAGAAATGTCTACAGAATACCAACCTTGATCTCTTTGAAGACAAATACGCTCCACACTGAAGCAATCACTGCAGGTATTGTAGTTACAATGGGAAACGCTACGGCATTAGACAGGACCTTGTTAGCCAGGAACCTGGGTAATGTAAATACAAGGTTAATCTGACAAACTCTCCTACTTACTAACATTAAAATTGGTGTTCCACTATGAAATTGGTCTGTGTTTGCGTGCGTCGTTTTTCGCCAACTATTTGTTTATAATTGTTTTTAGGACACTTCGACTGTTTATATTGTTGTTTTTAGGACACTTCGACTGATAATATTGTTGTTTTTATGACACTTCGACTGTGTATATTGTTATTTTAAGGACACTTCGACCGTTTATATTGTTGTTTTTAGGACACTTCGACTGTTTATATTGTTGTTTTTAGGACACTTCAACTGATAATATTGTTGTTTTTAGGACACTTCGACTGTGAATATTGTTGTTTTTAGAACACTTCGGCTGATAATATTGTTGTTTTTAGGACACTTCGACCGTTTATATTGTTGTTTTTAGGACACTTCGACTGTGAATATTGTTGTTTTTAGAACACTTCGGCTGATAATATTGTTGTTTTTAGGACACTTCGACCGTTTATATTGTTGTTTTTAGGACATTTCGACTGTTTATATTGTTGTTTTTAGGACACTTCGACTGTTTATATGTCTCCTTTGTTCAATGATTCCCCATTTCAAATTGGATAAAATCCCCTTCATAAAAGTGCAGGTATTTTAAAGGTTTGCCTCTTTTGTTTCCTTTCCGGTTCTTACCCCCATGAGGCTCAGCCTCCGTTCACATGACAGTAAGGTCCCTGGAGTTAAATGACCTTCAGATAAAATTTGGTAAAATTCCCATATCTGTACGGACGGAGATGACATGAAAGATTAACATCTATTTTCCCATTAGACATACTGTGTCCCATCGGCCAAGGGATGCTGCTAATCAAGTTTATTTAAAATGTGATCATCTGAACCGAAGGTTGAGGTGAGGATTCAAAAGATATACTTCTTTTTCCACATTGGAACCCCGACCCTCTGTCCCCCGGAAAGAGTCACGTTCTCATTTTACATAATAATTGGTCTCTGCTAAAAGATGTTTCAAATCATTTCAGTTGAAATTTCATGGATTCTAAAAAGCGCATGGAAAAATGATTCCAAAGATTACCTTTATTGCTCCTATTTGGATAGAACCCCACTTATCTCCATAGGCCATACGTTTTTTTTAAATTCAACCCCGTTGTTTCAGGAATACTCAAGATCAAATTTCGTTAAATCCAATCATCTGTTCCGAAGAAAATGATTATCTAAGATTAGTTTTTCTTCCCTTTTTATTGCTACGCATCTCTGTCCTTAAGGGGAACCACACCCTTTGCTTAAAAAATTATGAGTACCTTTGTCCTAATATTGCTTATAGCTTGTCAAAACCCACACAGTCATTCTGGACAAGTGGCGTTTAAAAATAGATGGTGAGGACGGACACACGATTCGTCCAGGACACGCCATTAATGCGCTGTGTTGTTTTAATCAAACAGATAGCCGTTGTTAAATGATGATATGTTATGTTACATCTGTTATATAAGAGGGTTTTCAACCCACTGTACAATTGTAATATATGTAATAAAAACGTATCTTTATAATGGCACTATTCAGTTGTGATAAAACGGGATATCCAATACAATGTTCAGTTGTTATATAATGGGTAACAATTGTACAGTTGTGTGACCGCACAACGCACCAAAATAGCTTGCGCACATCGTGCCTACATCATCCACACACCTTCCTCACATCGTGCCTACCTAATTCACACACCGTCCTCCCATCGTGCCTACATCATTCACCCACCGTCCTCACATCGTCCCTACATCATTCACACACCGTACTCACATCGTGCCTACATCATTCACACACCGTCCTCACATCGTCCACTTTAACAATCGTTTGCCCCGGTGTTCGATTCTCTGCGCTCGACTGTACGATTTGGTACAATTTTATTATCAATATTACGGAATGAAAAAAATACGGAAGGCGCGTATGCAATAATGTACGCTGTATATATGACTGTAATTTCTAATCACAATAATTAACATAATGTGCAATTTTACAATGCATGTTGTACAGTATAACAGTGACTGTTAGACTGTCAATAATGGGTTTGGCTCCAAGGTAACAGAACAGGTAAATAACAATTTGATGACCGACTGGAGTTTTACCTGGCCTGTGCCTGACACATAGAGCTGATATGTGATACTGTATGACCGTTATACAAACCCAACTACGTTTAATATTTGTTATTTGCATTCGGTTTGGCTTGATACTCCCCTTCACCTGGATTTTCACACCCCGACGTGTTACGTAAGTGCCCCGGGTGAGGAAAACTACGGCCCAGTTACCTGTATAAAGTTATAAAGTGGCAATTTTATTAGACTGTCC